TGCAAAAATATATATATATTGAAACATATGGACTTTTTTGCAAGAAATGTCAAACGTAGGGATGTTTTTCCAAAAGAATTGTCAGCCCTAGGGAAGTTTTGTGCTATTAGACCTTATTAAAATTGAAATCATTGCCAAACCGCTGAAACTCCATACCATTTCCAAAATACTATTACCCAAACTCCGGCGGCACCATCTGTTCATAAGATATCCGTGTCATTTCCAACACACCAATTGACTATACTTACCAAGACGCTTCTCTTCATGGTCTTAAAATATCAACATATGGTTTAGCGGTATGAAGGTTCGACCGTTTAGGTGATGGTTAGTCGGAGTTTTTTTCATTTCTAAGGTGGTAGTCCCATTTGGAGAAGAAGAGACCATGAAGAGAAGCATCCTAATGAGTATAGTCGATAGTATATTGGAAATGACACGGATCTCTCTAGAATAGGTGGTGCCGTCAGAGTTTGGGTGATGGTATTTTGAAAATGGTATGGAGGTTCAGCGGTTTGACAATGGTTTCAATTTTAATAAGATCTAATAGTACAAAACATCCCTATGGTTTGACACTTCTTGCCCAAATTGTCCATACGTCTCAATTTTTTTTAACGTTTTCATCCATATTTTCACGTTTCATTGCGGAAAACGTTATTTTCATTAATTTGAAATGTATGGACTTTTTGCACACTACAGACCAAACGTATGAACGTTTTATGCTATTAGGCTTTTTAATAATTATTTACACTCACTTGTACTTTTTAAAACATTTAGGAGTAAGATTGCAATTTATTCTTTATTTTTCTTTTCTTTTTTTGGTTTTATTTAAATATGAGGATATTTTAGTCATTTTACATTCAAAAATGGTGAAAATGACGTTTTCTGCAATAAACGTTGAAATACGGACGAAAATGCAAAAAAAGAAACGTAGAGACTTTTTCGCAATAAGTGTTAAATGTAGGGACGTTTTGTACTATTAACCCAAATATTAGTACATCCACACTTTTCAATGCAATTCAATCTACATACATCACTATTGAAAATTTTAAAAATTACTATTTTCATCCACGTCAAATATTAATATTATCCTTATTAAATTTATTTATTTAAACATTATAGATCTATACAAATTTTATATATTCATCCCATTATAAATACATTCCTAATGCAATTTCAAAATTTATTAAAAAATACTACATTCATCTAATCGCTATCAACATTTAATTTGGTTCTTACTTTTTATTTTCTATATTGTCGAAATGGTAAAAAAAAAAAATCTTTCGATATTTTATTTGAGGAAGGCTAGCCACACGTAAAAAGAGAGAGAGATAGCTCGAGCAATAGCTTCTAAAAATTGATAACAAGCACATCACATAAGAGTGAAACACACATAGGTTAATCTATGAAGGCAGACAAAAGTTTGATCGAGTAGGTAGAAGTTTGAAGTCTACAAATAGATGATGATGTTTAAGTGAAAGTAAATATCAGATCGTACCATTTTATAGCATATTTTAATGTTTGATATTGTTATGTGAGATATTAGATATCAATAAAAATGACTATCGCTTGACAAAATCTACTTCGATGAAGAGATTATTCAACGTTCTCAATCATGCACTCATATATGAAAAAGATAGTAAGAGGACATTGATCATGTTTTTTCTATGATATGATAGACACGTTATTTCGTTTGGGTGATGGTTGGAGAAAATGTGGTGCAGATTCGACGGAAGCCATTTATCTTTAGAATAATGTTATGCAACCCCAATGAGATTACAATGTCAGTTTAGGTGGCTCTAAATAATAAGTTGAATTCATGCCCCTTTGGTGTCATCGACATAACAGATGTCATTTATAGTCTATCTCTTTCTATTTCGTTTCTATACATGGAAAGTTCAAAAATCATCATATAATAATCCAGAAATTCCAATAAAAAAGGAATAAGGGAGGTGTATCCACGGCTTCTTGTACTAATTTCTCCTGGCGTGGATTTACTTGTTGTTAATCCAGAAATTGCAATAGAAAAGGAACAAGGGAGGTGTATCCACGGCTTCTTGTACTAATTTCTCATAACACATTACTAATTCTCCTGACGTGGATTTACTTGTTGTTAATAGATCGGTAAGAGTATTGTTCCGATAGATAACTCTTCTAGAGAGTTCATTAATATTAGAGCTCATTAGTTTACCCTATTATTTAATCCACATAAATTGTGGTTGTAACCCCAATGAGGATAAATAGTATTACTCTTATCTTTAACAAGGATAGTGTACAAATAAAGACAAAATTATATCTGCACAAAAACATAGCTCTATCTAAAAAAGATTATTAGTAACTTTTTAGAATTTTTTCAGTGATGAGATCAAAATATTACGAATAATAAGGAGTAATAAATTCGAATGTATAGTTTTAAATTAATAATTAGTTTGATTGAAGCCCTGTTTGATTTTCATTTTCTCAAGAATAAAAATGAAAAATATAGTCGTTACAGACCAACATAATAGATAGAAAGTCAAATATGGTAACTTGATGTGATTAATAACAGTGATATTTTTTATTTTTATGACAAAAAAATGAGAATAAAATTGGGGCTGAGTAATAAAAGTAACTTTTAATTTGCTTATAATGTTTACACAGACGTGGGATAGACATAGGAGAAGTCTATCATTCTTTTCCTTTTAGCATATTTTTTGGTTTATTCTTTCCATTTACCAAAAATGTGGTCAAGTGGTTACAAAGCCGGCCCGACCCGACCCGACAGGTACACCTAAAAGCAGGCTATAAATTTGGGCCGGGGAGGTTGTGTGGAAGACGACTCTCAGTCTTTACTTTCGGTGGATTTTGATTGTACACTGCTCAGCCCTTCAGCTCCATCACACAATCATTTTCTTCTTCACTTCTTGCAAATTCCCAAGTTAAGAAATCATTACCAAAAACTAATAATCTCTTAGCAAAGAAGAGTTCAGACACCCAGCAAATTCTCAATTTAAATTACAAAGAAAGAAAACTATGGATTCTGATTCGTGGGCTGCTCCTCTTTCTTCTGCATCCAAGCGCAATTTTTTCAATTCACAATCTCGATCTGGTGAACACATCCCATCCTCTTTTCCACTTTTTATATTGTGTAATTTCCATTTGGGATTCTTTAAATTGGTAAATGAGCTATTTCGTGGCATAGATTGCATTTTTATGGGTTTTGTGTGTATTTAGGTCAATATACTCTATATTTTCATCGAAGATTGAATTCCATCTGGATTTTGGTGGATTCACAAAAAACTTTCTTAAAAGTTCGTATTTGTGGGTGGGCTATTTTTATGTGCAGTTCGGATTGTATTTCTATATAGCTATAGACAAATAAATGGGTTCAAGGCGAAGATTGCATTTTGATGGTTTTTTTTTTTTTTTGGCTTGGATACTGTAGTGGGGATGAAATTGGACGGTTTTGATGCTGAAATGTTGATGGCGTTTGAGGAAATTGACATGGATGATGATATAAGAGATGAGTATTCATGCCCTTTTTGCTCGGAATATTTTGATATCTTCGGACTCTGTTGCCACATGGATGATGAGCATTCTATTGAGGCTAAAAACGTGGTACAATTCCTTCCAATTATTTCTGTTCTAATTAGTCTGCTATGAATTCTGATAAGTGATAACCTGCTTATCATTCATTCTCAACTCTCTTGTATATCTCGAAACATGAAAAAAATAAAATAAAATGCCAACTTCAGAACATTACATCAGCAAAATAGTCATCACCACAGACCAAATCAAACTAGAATCAGTGGCTGAGATAAACTTAGATTCTAAAGGCTCAAAAGTTTTAAAAGTGTTATTTTTCCTTGGACTCTAAGAATGTGCTTAGAACTCACCTAGCGCCCATTTACATATTGGGTTCTTTATGACTTATGAAGTTCTAAGTCGTCTTCCCTATATTTTATTTATTTATTTTGATTATTATTATTTTTTTGAGTGGGCTGGGGTGGGGGGTTTAAGAATTTGCAAAACTGGTAACTCTAATAGATTTTCGGTGTTGTCCCTTCTTTCACCCTGTCCCGAAGAGAAACTAGGACCATTTAGTTATGTTTTCCTGTTCCAATTGCTATGTTTATCCTTTGTTGCCATTAGGAGGATTGGATTTCCTTGGAAATCTTCGATGAAAATCATTTTTGTTCTTTTTTGAACCGGATGTCAGATTTTTTTTTTGGTTTTTTCCATCTATTGTTAGGGTGTTTCTGTTTGAAGTGATATGTGCTAACACAGGTTTTTTATTTGCACTCTGCAGATGTGTCCAGTTTGTGCGATGATGGTGGATGTCGACATGGTTGGTCATATAACCTTGCACCATGCCAATATATTTAAGATATCCTTTTCTCTCAGTTTGCATTCTCTGCTATGTTGTGGTTACTTGCAGTTCCTTTTTGTGATGCCATTAAATTGTTTCTATTTTTCTTCTTTGTTATTTCTTAATTCTGCAAGAGGAAATTGCCTTACATGATCCTAGTGTGCATCTAGCCCGAATTCAAGTTGGTGCTTTACTTGGAAGCACCCAGCTCAGATAAAGATTTTGAATTTACTAGTGACTTAAAATCTTTCTCAATATTTTTTTTTTTTTATTTTTTATTTTTTGCGCCTGCATTGTTTTCTTCAAAAAAGCTTTAAGTAGAAGAACTCGAACACTGAGTTTGGGAGCCAATTTGTTGTTAGGTGTTTGGAGAAGTGCTTTTCAAAACACAATTTGGTGATCTGAAGTGGTGTGCCCGTATTTCGGACTGTTTTGAAATACTTTACATTGATGTAGAAAAAATTTACATTCGAGTCCTTCATTGTTTGCATAAGGATGTTGGGAAAAAGGAGATAGAACCTGTGTTTGAGTATAGAGCTTGAAGTTTAAGCCTCCGTTTGGCCCCCATTTTGTAGTAATGAAAATTGGTGGAATAGTGTTTTTTTGAAAAATGAGCGGTTGAAAAAGAAGGAAAAATGTTCGATTTACGTGTAATATTATTTTATGGAAGATTGTGTGGTTAAAAATATGAGAGAAAAAAATGAAATGTAATGGAATGAAAATTAATGGAGGTCAAACGGGGTATAAAATTGACAGGTTTTAGCATTGTTGTGGCAGCAGCAGTGGTGGCCTGACTGGAGGGGTGGGTAATAAGATGGTGAAGAGAGGTGGATGTTGGTGGTTGCATAGGCACACCCGTCTGTTTTCCAATTTTTTTCACAGGAAAATACAAAAGGAAAGGCCGGCCTTTATTTACTGAATTGATGTTGATATCAACTTGTTTTTGCTTACAAATGTTTTCATAACATTTTAGATACTTTTGCTCCTTTTATGCTATGAGAACTTGACTATCTCCATGAGTTCCTTGACTAAAGATTACATGCAGCGCAAGAGGAAATCACATAAAGCTGGTTATCCAAAACTTTCTTTGTTGAAGAGGGAACTGCGAGAAGGGAAGCTACAGTCACTTTTTGGAGGGTCTTCCCGTGTAGCTTCTTCAAACAACGTAGCTCCAGACCCATTGTTGTCTTCATTTATTTTGCCAATAGTTGATGATTTTGGAAGCCTTCCAACGCATTCTTCATCTGAGTTAGTATCAATCAAGAAAAGTGCAACCACAAATACTTCAGAAAGGTAACCCTTATTAATTTTTTTGGTTGAGTAGCAACTTTTTTGTATTAGCATATGGTTACTCGTGCAACAGAATCTATTTTAAAGTTCACCACAGATTGAATGAAGGATTATAAGAATCTAATAGAAAAGGGTGAAATCAAATTTCAATTAGGATTCCAGATGCTGCCTATTAAGTTGTTGCTTGTTCTTGGCGTATATTGTTTTTAATTTGCTGGTTCATCAAATAGAAAAGATTATAATGGTCCTTGTTGCATGATTTAAAGTGTTTGTTTTACTTCCATAGATGCTGATGTATTTTTAAGCAGCCATTAAAACCATTCTTTAGGATGCTGTCATCTTTCTTCTTTCATTTCCTTGAATTTTTATGTTATCAATTGTAATTAATGAATATGGATGTCACTCTCTTGAGTGACATACATTTTGTCCATAACAATAGCATACTGTAGACTGAGTTTTATTTTCAAATTTCTTTAGTCAGCGAGGAAAAATATAAGTAATACTAACAATGCTATGAAGAAGGAAGGAATTGATATTATTAGTTATTACATTTAATACCGAAGTGATTTTCTGCCATGATTGAATGTGCACCTTTTCATGTGTTTTCCATTGTATTTCATTTTAGTCCAATTAGAATGATTTCTATTTTGCATGATTAAAAATAATAATAATAAATAAAAAAACAAGCCCATCATCTATTATATGCTAAAGAATATAAATTGGCACTACTTAATATGGCTGTGGCATGCTTCCAAAAACTTGAAAAAATAAGTGAAGAAATTATGTTCCTGTCATTTCTTGGTAATAAGTTGGTTCCATTAATGTCCTCGTAATTTAAATATGATTATAGTTGATCTAGAATCCTGGTATGGCCTAGTTCTTCTGATCCTCCTATCTGGGCATTCTATTTTATGCTTTCATGGGTGTGAGCTGAAATTTGGACCGGCCCTTGAAATTTCAAGTTTGACTACTCAATATTATAGATGCTTTTATCAGACGAACCGATCTCCAACTATTGGTATGCCCAATTATCAAGATCATTAATCTTATATATGAGAGCCATGGATATAATGAATACGAAGATGAACAGCATATATGCTTTTGTATGGTACATTGGAAATTGGAAGAGCGAGGCAGCTTTTGGACAAATTTTGGTTCAGTCTATTTTTCCACTTTATTTGTTCCAGTTTAAAGATCATTGTTTTGTGTTTCTAATTAACCATAGCACGTTGATTCAGAAGCATTTGTTTCAAATTTGAATTCTGTAAAATTGTTGAGTCTATATTTAAAGCTGTAAGACTGGAAAACTGGTATGATGTTGCTAGAGGGCTGGTGTTTATTTTAATCAATTTGGACCAAAAAGTAAGAGAGAGAGGCATAAATATAGAGTATGCTTGGCAAAGTTGATCATAAAAATATTGGGGGACCAGATAGTTAGGGATTTAGCCACTGTTATTGTATACGGTGCTTAAGGAGCCTAATGCGCTTTAACTAGAACAATTAACACGAAGATAATGGCTTCAATGTATTAATATATTAACGTTCCCAAAAGACTATTATCTATCTTAGAAAATGAATTTGACACTGCAGGGGAAAGAAAAGATTATAGCCACTACATAACATCTGTTTTCTATTTAATTCTTATTTTACTTCTTTTATGTTTTTCTTGTTGCATGTTTGGTTTTTCTATTAGTTATCTTTTTTATAGATATGGGATAAGAAAAGAAAATGCTGAGGATGATAGTTCTAAGAGGATTTTTCTTGAGAACAAAATAGTGAGAGAAATGAAAACTGATCCTCTTTTAGAATTTCTTATTAGCATTCCTTATTTTATTTTATTATTTTTTTTTT